CAGCAGCTGAAGCAAGCAAGCGAAGAGATGCCGCCAAAGTTTGATCCCTCCCAAGTCGTGGACGTGTACGTCAGGGTCACCGGCGGTGAGGTGGGGGCTGCGAGCTCCATGGCCCTGAAGATCGGGCCCTTCTTCCTCAAGAACCGCAAGTATGTCGTCGGTCCCCTTCTTTCATCTTTTCTTTCTCTATTTTTTTTGGTTTTTCGATTCACACACCTCGTCGTATCCGAGTGTCAACCACCGTATCTGACCCGTATTTCGTACCCGAATCGATGTCGGATCGTATCGACACCGGTACGACGGTCAAACCGTCGTGTCCGAGTAACGTAGGTCTACACCGACACTAACAATCTCCCATTTGGAGACCATACCGTCGTCAGCAGGCTATCCCAACAAGCGCCTTCTCCTGTGTGGCTCCACCCTCATCACCTATGCATGAAGGCCAATTGAAATTACGCACAACTCCAGTTTCTGTTGGGACACTGTCTTTGTCAACGTATCTACTGGATTCTTTCTTCCTTGGATCTTCTGTTGAAATCTTTTGACCTTGTCGAGCTCTGTATCTTATGGAACCATCATGTTCCTTTTTCACTCGATACACCTATTTGTTGTGATGTGCCTTCTTCCTCATGGGCAACTCAGCTAGTTCTCATGTCTGGTTGGAGATCAGAGATTTCATCTTTTATTTCATAGCAAACTCCCACTTGCTCACATCTCCACTCTGATAAGCATCATCATAGCTTTCAGGCTCTCCTCCATCTGTCAGCAACATATAATTCATGTATCTGCTATTAGACACAGGAGGACGAGTAGTTCTCCGTAATATCGGAGCTGGTGCTTCGGGCTTCTACGTATTGTTCTGTCCAACATACTCTTCTGGCTGAGGACCTTCTACATTAGGTTCTTCCTAGAGGTTATCTAGGACATCATCTGCATCTACAAATGTTGACTCGTTCTCTGAATCATCTGTCTTGTGCATGTCCTTGTACATCACATTCTCGTTGAATATCACATCTTTGCTCTTGATCACCTTTTTATTTTCGTTGTTCCAAATACGGTAACCGAACTCATCTTTGTTCTGTCCAACATACTCTTCTGGCTGAGGACCTTCTACATTAGGTTCTTCCTAGAGGTTATCTAGGACATCATCTGCATCTACAAATGTTGACTCGTTCTCTGAATCATCTGTCTTGTGCATGTCCTTGTACATCACATTCTCGTTGAATATCACATCTTTGCTCTTGATCACCTTTTTATTTTCGTTGTTCCAAATACGGTAACCGAACTCATCTTCGCCATACCCGATGAATGTGTATTTCTTAGACTTGGGATCAGGCTCATTCCTTCCTTGATCACTAACATGCACGTAAGCTACACAACCGAAAACTTTGAGATGTGAGAGGGTTACCTCCTTATCGCACCATATCTCTGCTGGTATTCTGTGCTCCAATGGAACTGATGGACCTCGGTTGATCAAGTAAGCTACTGTGTTTGCCGTTTCTGTCCAGAACTGCTTCGGTAGGCCTGACTGTATCCGAATACTTCTGGCTCTCTCTGTCAACGTTCGGTTCATCCGCTCAGCTACATCATTTTACTGAGGCGTGTCAGGCATGGTTCTCTCCATTCTGATCCTGTGCTCATA